AATCTCTTGAGTCGGCTCTCTCTCTCTCTCTTACTGATGAGTTCTGCTGCGTATTGTTCATCCCTGACAGTCAAGGTTGACTTGATTCAGAGTCGTTATTCAGCGTCAGGATAAGTGTGAAACAAGTACCTTTTAATTATTAAGTCACAGCTTGAGCGGCTAACCAACACATTAATGTCGCTAGGTGTCGAATCTTAATTAATAATGTATATGTTTCATTTAATACAAGAGGATTATATGTCGAGTGTGATGTTAAGAGCTTAACTGAAGAGTGTGTGACAGGAATATGACTAAACTTTATGTTGTCATGGCAATACTCAGACTTCTCACATGTGTGCCAGAGCTGGAAAAGATTAGCTGGACCCCAGTCCCACTCTGGGGGGGCTGATTGGCTCGGCCCATCGCTGCATTTGGAAGATTAAACTGTGCTGCAGTACGGAGGGGCCACGGGGATGTGGGATGGCAGCCCAGGAAGGACAAAAAAAAAACTGTGCAGTGTAAACAAAGAGATGACCTTCAGGACAAGACAAAGAGGCACAGAGCTCAGAATAGAGAAACTTAACGCTCGCACCTCGTGACACAGACTTTGACATTTGTGCCCGTTCTCCGTCTTTTTTTTTTTTTTGTTCTTGGTCGTTGCTGATTCATCACTTTACAAGAGAGAGAGGCAATCTCGAATCATCATTTATTGCTACAAAATCACAGTGGGGCCGCCAGAGCTGTCAAGTGTTACTGCATTGTTTAGGATGTCCAAATAATGCAACATTAGCTCATCTTAAATGCATCGTGTTTTTCTTTTTTTAGGGATGGGATGGGGGAGGGGGAGGGGGGTGATTGTCGTCATCCATTATTGGAGTTGCAGTGAGGCTGCAAGAGCATTTATGGAGCATAAAGTAAGGATGTATTGTGTAGGATGTCCAAACTGCACAACATCTATCCTAAATGCATTTTTCTATTTTCTATTTTATTTTCTGTTCTGATTGATTCAGTATTTTGTTGCAGCAATGGTTTTGAGTCATCTTTCATCACTGTTAAAGTTCCGCAGGGGGCTGCTTGTACTGTTAAGTGAAAATGCAGCATGCAGAAAGGACCACTGTTCATGATGTTCAAATATTTCCAAAATCTTTTCATACTTGTGCATTATTTTCCTTTTTTTCTTCGAGTGAGTGCGGGCAGATGCTGATTGTTGTAACCCATGTTTTGTAATGTATCTATCATGATGTCATTACAAAACCAGAAAAAAATCTTAATTCATCCATAATTGCAGGAAATGTGCCTCCATGCTGTCAGGGCTGTCACATTTCTACGTAGCATGCAGGAGCTTGTATGGTTCAGGATGTCAAAATTGCAGAACATGTATATCTAAATGGCATAACTTGGGTGGATGGGAGGGTTACTGCTTGTTCCATTTTTTCTGTTCTTTGGTCAATGCTGATGCTATCTTTCTTAAAGCATCTTTCTTTGCTCCAAATCTTGCCATGTGGTTGCTATTGCTGCTAAGTGAGTATGCAGCATTCTGTGTGGTATGTCAAAGTCTTGAAGGACTACAGCCTCCATACATGGGGTGCTACCTAACAGCTTGGCCATCGACGCCCTTTTAATGCATCATTATATCAGTTTTTTTTTTCTGGGAGGCTGACAGCTCGTCCAACTTTTTGAGGTCACCGCTGATTCATTATTTTCTTGCTATAAAAGAAAGATTCTTGAGTCATCTTTCATTACTGTAAAATTCACCTTAGGGATGTCAGAGCTGTCAGAGTGTTTATGCAGCATGCAGCAGGGAGCATTGTCTTTTCATCTTAAATGCATTGTTTTTTGCCGATTCATTATTTTATTGCTACTATGGAGACTATCTTCATTGCTGCAAAATTTGCAATGAGGCTGCTCGATCCATGTTTTCCTGCAGAATGTAGCAAGGAGCATGATAAGGATGCCTGTAGTCCACCACATCTACGTCTTAATTGAATCATTTTTAAGGGGCTGACGGCTTTTCCAGTTTTGTTGTTATTACTGATTTATAAAGTCGTTGCAAACACAAAAATGAGCTTTGTAATGTTTATCCAGCTTGCAGTAAGAATCATTGTTCAGGATGTAAGAATTATGCGACATCAAAATTATCTTAAATGCATTCTTTTAGGGGGGAGGGGTGCTTGGCCCACTTTTATTATTTCATTGCAAAAACAGAAACAATCATGAATCATCTTTCTTAGTGGAAAAAACATGCTGTGTTGCCTCTAAGGCTGTTAACTGCAGAGATGCATATTCATGATGTCTAAGTAATGCAACATCGCTCAACTGAAATGAGTCTTTTTTTTTAATGATTTTCTTCTTTTGTTTTGGAGGCTGACAGCTTGTCCGATGTTTTTATTCTAACTATAAAAGGGACAATCTTGTATCATGTTTTTATAGCTGCACAGTTTGCCTTTGGGTGTCAGAGCTCTTTAGTGTTTCTGCAGCAGGGATCGTTATTCAGGATGCCCCAAACAACAAAACATGTCTTTTATCTTAAGTTCATGTTTTCATTCTTGGGGTGTCTTATTGGCTTTTTTGGTCATTGCTGGTTCATTATGTCTACTATTACAGAAAGGATCTTGAGTCATGTTCCTTTGCTGTAAAGTTTACCTCAGGGCTGTCAGAGTGTTTATGCAGCATACAGCAGGGAGCATTGTACAGGATGTCCAAACAATGCGGCATCTTTTCATCTTAAATAGATTACCTCTTCATTGCTTTTCACTCACCGTGGGCAAACAAAAAGAAGAAGCTCTTGCGCGTTCAGCGGAGAGAGTCTGGAGGGAAGCCGAGGCATTAGCATGTGAGGCGACAGACATCAGGAGAGTTAATCTGCGAAATGATGAGGCCACCTGGCAAGGTCAGAGGCAACCCTCCCAGGACGAATGAGCCGCCTCATCAGGCATGATGGATTCCCTCCTTTTGTGAAAAATGTGGCAAAGGTGTCCTCTTGATTACATCCATCACATTAACATAAAGACAAACAGCGTCATCAGTCCCGGGGATTGTTGCGATAAAGGACAACTCAAATAACAATATGAGGGCGTTCAGGGTTCTGTTTGATGCTCCATGATGATAATTCTCACAGTGTATAACTCCTACTTAATGTGATAGATTTAATCTCGTCTCGCAGAGGTCTGTTTGAAGTGCGTTCTGTATTCCAGTCAGCAGTGTACAGTGCAGATGAATCTGCAAAAGCCTCCCTGCGGCACATCATTACCTCTGGAAGCACCATCAGGGAGATCCCTCAAACTTAACTTGTTGGAAGGCTGCAGGAGCTTCATGGGGTGGCTTATACAAGCAGTGTGAGGTATTAGAGGTTGCGGTCTTTCAGTTTGGTTGCCTGTTGTAAAAGAGAACAGTTAGAGGTTGTTCTGGTTGGAAAAGGGGGAGGAGTTTATTGACAAATGTGTTATTAATCTCAATAACTGTTTTTCACAGCCAGGTTTTTTTTGATGGTATCATCGATACCCAATCTCTCTTGAGAGATTAAAGGAGGCAGATAGCTGCTCCGAATGAAGATGTGCTGTATAAATAATGCATCCATTGTTATCTGCAAAATATATCAGAATCTGACTGAATACGTTAACACAGCAGATTATCTTCTGTTCACATTGCAGAGTTTTCCTGTGTTTGGAACTGTGAGCTTTTGCAAACATAAAAGGGCAACATTTGTGCAGCTCTTTCATTCCCTTAAAAAAGGCAAACTTTAGGTATTCTTCTATATTTTTGCTGTTTATTATTTTATTGATTTAAGTGTCTTGACAGGAGGAAAACTCTTCTTTTGTAGCTTTTGTTTTCTATACATATTCCTTGAAAGTTGAAGCCTTCTTGCCTTCAAACACTGGCACTGATTACGACACGTCCGTGAAGGACATCTTGAAAATGACTCTACTGGTGCATTTTGATTTGTTCATTATTTTACTTTCTGCACAGATGTCGGTGAATTGCCTCAAGGAGACGATATTCTGTTTATTTGTGACAAAAGTTTAAAGGAATCAAAATGACCTTGGCGAGTGAATTAGTTTTCGAAGCAAAGAGTGGGTGTGAGTGGGACAACAAACACTTTGCTTCAATTCACAGGTTAGTGAACAAGTATGGAGGCTATCAGGTTTTGACAGGAACAATAGAAAAGTAAAGTGTTGCTGTGTCTGCATTTGTGCACTCCAGTAAACACACACACACACACACACACACACAAGCGTCATGGTAGCTGGTGAGGTGGAGAAGAGGTTGTGTTGTATTGGATGTCAGATCTGCCCTCTTTCGTCCTCTGTTTGGCTTCAGCCTGACACACTTGATCACCACATTTTGAACTCGGATGTCTGATTGATTACCTTCAAGTTCAATTAAACTGTGAAAGCAGCTATTTTTATCTGGAAAACAGACAGAGCGACATGGGTGACCTGAAGGCCTTCGCTCAGATAAGAGTCTCCCTGTGAAGGCTTTTAGTTCAGATCCACTCCGAGAATAATCTGATAATCTATATATGTGCAGAGTAAGAGTCTTTCTTTAGGCTATGGTTTCTTTCTTTCTTTCTGTCCGTCAGTGATTTTCCACTTTAAGTGTCCACTGACGATGCTTTTTGTGCCGTCAGCGCCCACATCCTCAGATTCAGAGCGCTTTCCCAGCGGCACTAATTGTTGCTTGGTTACAAAATTCAGCTTCCGTTCCCTTGGTAGTGACCGTTAGCTCTGTTTTTAATAGCTGTTTGTGCTTCATGTTTTCCTTCATCATGTTAATATCTACAAGAAGACATGGAAACAATGTAAATGAGTCATGTCCTCCACCATTCTTGTTTTTCCATTTTGATTGGTCGGTGAGGGTGAGGTGAGGTGACATGGACAAACGAGGCCTTGTTCTAAAAGTTCAACTAATTTCAGCTAAGAGTGCTGTGTGCGACCAAAACATACAGGGGTCCCTCGTCACCCTTATGTGATAAATTATCTGCTCAAATTAGTTTCATTTCAAAACATAAATACAAAGAACAATAAAAACATTATGATGTAATCCTAGCAAAGTTATGTTATTCTAGTGTCTTTTCTTCATATTTAGGGCTAGAACTGCAACATTTAGTCGTTTCCTATTTGTTGAGTGAGTGCTGTCAGATGGGGTCCATTTAGGGGGCTTTCCAACTGTAATTGCAAACTTGTCACATTTTGAGCCACTGTCCCTTTGGGCCCTTTTGTGCTCAGGACGCTGAACCTAGAAAATTTCAACAAAGGATACCCATGCAGGACGTTTTATCTAGATATCCCAAATGGGAATGGGCATATGTATTAAGTTGGGACCTACTGAAAAACTCTCTTCCATACCAATAACCCAAGAAGAAGAACGAAGAAATCAACCATTGTTATAGGCTGCATCCAATCCATCTCAATTGAGGTCAGCATATCCAAAAGATGTAAAAGTTGTTAAAATTGTAACTTTGTAACTGTTATCTTGACCCGGTTTCACTCCTATTAGACGTTGCATATGTGTCATTGTTAACCTGAGTTCTTATTTTGACCGTCTTCCCACAAATTGCAGATTTAGAGCTAGAATTGCAACATTTAGTCATTCACTATTTGTTAAGTGAGTGGCTTTTGAGTCACTGCAGTGGTTTGTCAGCCCTCGGAGGTCCCTACAGGCCCGGGGCCCCAAGCAGTTGCCTGCCTTGCCTGACAACCAGCCTCTGAACGCAGGGACAAAAAACATGGTGCTCTTTTGTGCTCAGGACGCTGAACATAGAAAATGTCAACAAAAGAGCCCATGCAGAACGTGTCATCTAGATATCTCAAATTGGTATGGGCATATGTATTTGGTCTACCCACAAAATGCAGATTTAACTTAATAATTATACTGCATAGCTCTTTAGTGGGCAAAACTGTGGCTATAGGGGTACCTACAGCAGCAAAAGGTGCAGTGTAGAGCCACTTTTGAGCAGTTAGATACTTGGAAAATGTGATTGATAAGCTGTTTTCCCAAAGATTTGCCTGAATAAACATTGAAAAACATTGATATTTTGAGCTGTCAGTGTTACATGTTTGTGTCCATCCACAGGAGAAGACCGCGTCAGGGAGAATGTGGTGGGCACAACAGACACACAAGCAGCGAACGGCACAGCTGGAGCAGAGTCCGGCTCCAGCAGACGGAAGCTCCACTGCTGCATCCGAGTGACGACCGTGCAGGTACAGAAGGCCCTGTGGGGGGTCGCCATGGTGATGTGCGTGTGCTCGTCCTGGGCAGGCTCCACCCAGCTGGCCAAGCTGACCTTTAAGCAGTTCGACGCCCCCTTCACCCTCACATGGTTCGCCACCTCCTGGAACAGCCTCTTCTTCCCCCTCTATTACATCGGCCACCTGTGCAAGAGTCCGGAGAGGCAGACGCCCAGACAGAGATTCAGGTGAGGAGGCTTTACCTGCATCAGCAAGTAAACATTGTTAATGTAGCATTTTTTTAAAACAGATGTTTGAAAGAGGGGGTAAACTTAAGCCCAATGAAGAAAGCTGGTTTTGATTTGGTTTCTTTAAGACATCTTTAAAGGCTGTTTTAGAATCAGCAACATGAATGTCACGCTCCTTGACCTTGAAATAAGAACCTGAGAGTCTGCTCTGAAGGCCAGAGTCAGACAGCTTTCATTTAATCGCTTGTATTTCTTGGTGAACTTCAAAATCCATCCTTAACAGACAAAATGGAGTTAGTTAGTGAGAGTTTAAGGCCAATCAGAGCTGTAAGGAACAAGGAGAACAAGATGTAACAATAGTCAAGGTCTGGATAAGCTTTCTGAATTTTGAAGTAGTTTCCAGTTTTCAAATGTTCCTGAAATCAGAGAAACCAAGAGTTAACAAATTCAAGAGTTGGTTGTGATTAAAAAAAACAATCAAAGCAGCTGACTCTCAGTGTCCTGAACCTGCTGAAATGTAAAAATGTATCTGAAGCCGTGTTCAGACATGCACAAAAAAAACGTCCTGAAAAAAGAGTTTCTCTGGCCAGCCCCTTTGTATATTTTCATCAGAAAGTTCACCTCGAGCCAGGAGGGTGTGGTGACATTTATACCCTTCAATCAGTGTGTGACCAAAGACTTTATGTTGCAATTTCCGTACATGTAATACTTGCTTCACTATATTTTCTGTTCACCAGTACGTTCTTCTCTACTCTTTTGTTGATATTGTGAGTCTGTGGAACTACACATAGCATTGATATAAAGACAAATATTCTCATTGTAGCGTGCTGCAGTGGACTCTTTTGCTTTGTCCAAAACTCCCGCGTCGTTCTTTTTATGTCATGTCTTGCCTCAGGTCCCCCACTGTCCCCTTCCAGTCTGACAGGGTGTGAGGTATGAGGTGCATGTGTGAACAACAACATCAGAAGGATTTCAGGGGAAGTCCTCCTGACATTATCTAGACATTTCCAGCAGAGCATGTAGAGCTCTGAACGTACAAAACTGTGGACAGAGACGTTCCTATAGCGTCTCTCATGTTGTTCTGTTTAAGAAGGAGTGTAGCATAACTTTTAGGGCAAAAAAGCAGCAATACTATAAAAGATCAACCTTCAGTGATGTTGCACTTTTGTTTTCTTCAGTGCTCAGGTTTTTTTTTTTTTTGTTGTACTGCTTCTTCTTATTATTGTCGTTGTAAACAAGCCGAAGACACAAAAGTTGATGTGTAGTCAGAGTATTTTTTCTGCAGGTTCAAATAGAGACGACTTGGAGGAAAAATAGAAACCATATCTGTCTCGTCAACTACAAATAGATTTGTTTTCTTTCGACACTCACGAATGATGCACAGACGTCAACAATCACACAACTGGGAGAGAAAGCACTTTTCCATCAGTAGCAGCAGCAACAGTAGACAAGAATACAATTAGAAATCATTCTGCAGAAAGTTGTTTTCTTCACTGATAACAAATCTCACTATTCTTCTTGATGCAGATAAAACATGCAGCTGAAATGCTCGGGCACGTCCTGTAGAGATTGACGAAAAGCCCTGTGAGAAATATCTGTATGCAGTTGTGGCCAAGCTGAAAAAGGTGTTCGAACGCAAGCCTGAGGGGTCAACATAACATAAATCAGACAGGAAAAACAACATTTCAAATGTTTATTTTTAACCCCATGACTTTCCCTCTCCCATCTTTACCTCTGCCGAACAAATTGGGCCTTTCAAGAAAGGAGTAAGATGTGGAAACCTTACTCTTTGGTTGAAGTAGTTGGACAATTTAAACAAGAAGATCAGGAAGGATTTTTTAAAAAGCAAGCAGAATAAAATTATGAAATGATTATGATGATTATGAGGGAATTAAAGGTCACATATTCTCCTCCTTTCTGACCAGTTTAAAAAAGTCTCAGAGCTCTCCAAATACATGTGTGTGAAGTTTCTTGTTCTAAATCCACTCTGATCCTGTGGATTTAGAACCCCTCTATTTCAGCCCTGCTCAGAACAGGCTGTTTCTGTGCCTGTACCTTTAAATATGTAAATGAGCTGTGTGTGACCACGCCCCCTCTCTGGAAGGGCTTGGGTGTACTCGGTGCTTTCTCGCTCCATGTCCTATTGTTTACGGTGAGAAGGCAGACTCAGAGGGCAGAACAAACACCTAGCTGTGGGAGTGTCACCCACCTGGGGGAGGGGCTACTGCCCTTTGTGATGTCATGAAGGGACAATCTCCAAACCACCTGTTAACCTTTTAATATAGCCATATATACAAAACCTGGTAGCGAAACCGCCCAGATCTTTTTTTAAACAAAAGCATGAATAAATACATGGTTAGTGCGCGCTCCCCATGTACGGAGGCTGTAGTCCTCCAAGCGGGCGACCCTGGTTCAAATCCGACCTGTGGCTCCTTTACCTGTCGTTCCCCTCTCTCTCTCTCTCTCTCCCTGATTTGTGACTCTATTCAGTCTGTCCTGTCTATAAAATAAAGGCATAAAAATCTACCAAAACTATATCTTTGTACAAAAACGTGAGTTGCACCAACATGACCCCTTTGATAACAAAGGTCAAACTTCAAAGCCCGGGTCTGAAATGTTTCTGACAAGAACTTTCAAAAACCCAAAAACCTTCTGTGTGAGAAAGTATATGTGTTGTGTTTATTGTTAGAACAGAAGCATCCTCATATTTAAGAGAGAAAGTTGGAGTTGTTTGCTTGTCATATTTGCTGGTTATACTGTATATGTACAGTCACTCCCCGTTCATATCTGACTTCCAGCTAAGCACTCCACTTATTTAATTTGTACTCTCAGCTTCCTGGTCATGTTTAGTTATTCTGCTGCAGCAGCGAGCAGAAAGAAAGTCATCTTAGGTGTGTCAGAAGAGCTCCCACAATTCAAACAGTCCATTAATCACAGTCTTTAAACAGAAGTCTTATCTCTCCTATACTTGCTGTGCTGCTTTAGCGCAGAGAGAGAGACCATGACGGTGGTGGAAGGTCCCGGCTCTGTATCTCTGCAGCACCTCTGTGATGTAATCCTTTGCTTTTCTGAGGGCTTACACCAGGAAACTGGGGCTCCTCGACCAAAAGCTGATGTGTTCAGAATATGAATCCCTCTGTTTCCCTTGTAGTTAGAAACGCTCCCGGTGAGTTTCAGAAAATGCAGAGGAAAAGAGATAAGAGTTGACGTTTGTATCAGCTGCCCGTCCGTTCTCTGCAAAACAGCAGCTAGAGTAACAGAAGACCTGACGTTGGTGATGTATTTTCACTGTAACTGGATGTTTTCTTTGGAAGCTTTCTGCTGTATTGACTTTCAATTCAAGAATTATAATTCTCCTTCTGTTCATGTTTTGCTTCTTCTCTTCTACTGCAGTTTGAGAAGCTCCTCTAGTCAGCGCCGTAAGAGTGTAAATATTAATAGAAAACTCACCCATCTGTTACAGCAGGGGGATCCAGACCCTCCCTGATTGGCCACTCACAATTTTGATTTCAGCTGTTTCTTTCAGTGTCTGTAAAGAAACGATGAAAGACGTAAATGCAGCTGTCACTGAATGCAGCTTTGTGTTTATGAAAGCAGGTTGTGAAAAGTGCGTTTTTTTAGTGCAGACTCGGCGCGTTTATAACAAAGCTTGTTCCTCTTCAGTCACTCCGATAACTGTGCCACCTGCCAATCCTCGTTTTCTGCTGCTGCTTCATTGCTTTCCACAGGGCCGGATTTTTTCAGGGGAGAGCAACGTAAACAGAAGCTGTTGAAGTGCAATGATGTTGTATTCTGACCCCTGAACATATCAACACACTGTAACGTGAGGGGACAGGATCTATAAGTCTGGAGTGTTTTGATACTGATACATGATGTCACCGTTTGGTTCCTTTCTCACATTACAAAGAGTGTGAAACATCGACTGTCAGGCCAATAAATCTCGAGTTTCTGCATTTATCTAACAGCTTTTTTTTTTATATCCATTTCAAATATTCAAAACCCCACAGCTTCTTCTTTGTGTACTTAAAAACTCCTCTTGACAGTCACAAGGACAAGACTTCAAATAAAAATCACATATGCTTTATGCCTTAGCTTCAATGATGGTGGGGAATGCTAGCATTACAGTTTCATCTCTTATGATATAATAAAATGTCAAAATGTCCCAATTTTGACTCCAAGTATCCAGTACGACCGACCTGACACATTGTTAAATATTTATCCAACCTTTATTCTACTTAATACATTTCTATGATCTGTTTTCACACATGCACTCTTGAAAATGTCAGGCAGGCTTCCCCTGAAATCCTCCCATCATGACGTGAAAAGAACGACACAGAGTGGGGTGGACAAAGCAGCGGAGTTGGACTCTGTAATGAGAGTTTTTGCCTTTATATCTGGTGTTAACAAAAGAGCAGAGGATATAAGGGCAAACAGAGATGATTCAGTTTTATTATGTGCACAGAGATCCAGAGATGGTCGTGCGGTGGTCACAGGATATAAACATGATCACCCCTTCCCCGTGGCTCGTGGTGAATCCTCCTGAACATGTCTGATACAACGGGCTGGGTCTAAGATTACACACTCTATTAATCCCTGAGGGAATTTCTGGTTTACACTCTGTCATGCTTCTCACACACATAGGCCCAAAATATACACACATGCACCATCAGGAGCTGTGGACATGCACAAGATGGAGGGATGTCAGAGTGGGGCTGCAACACTCTGCTACACAGGGAGCTGATAGGGGTTGGGTACCGTGCTAAAGCGCCATCGGCAGTACACAGGAAGTGACCTGGCACCTCTGCAGCTACCAGACCAACTTCGTTTTTTTTTGTTTTGATAATTGATTGAATGTTTTATCATGATTTGTTCTGCAACAAGGCATGTACGTTCACTGGTCAGATCATCCTTAATCCTCTGCGTCCTTAACTTCTTTGGTTTAAGGTGACACTGTGGCCTGTACGGAGATAATGGAGAAACATCTTTAAAGGCATTTTAAGGATTGACAAAAATTAAACATCCACACAATTAAACGTTGGAGCTACTTGACGTTTCAGGATTCAGTAAAGAACATAAATAGGAAGACAGTTCGTGTACCCTGTGAATATGCTGAGTCATCATGAGATTTAACACATGCATACGTCCTGGAAACAGTTATTTGTGTGTGTCCCAACTGTATTCATAAATCATTCAAATGTTTCGGCCTCCAGCATGTAGGACATATGGACCTTCATATCCAGGAAAGTGAACACTCAGTTTTGTCAAATAACACTGAGAAGTCTAAAAAAAGCTCCATATTAGTTGTAGTGTTTTGATTGGTGGGATGTTTTTATAAACATATTGTATCTGCCCTCATTTAAGCTCACACTTTCAAGCAGGAATTGGCAAAGACAGATCATAAAACAAAATGCCTGAGGAAGAGATCAATAGTTTAGTGTCATGACTGGAAACAGCTCAGATTCATCTCACTCGATCTCCAACTTTTAGTACCTCGTGGCAGATCTGATTTTTATCTGTAAACATTTACTTCTTCTCCAGCAGAGTGGAGTTGTTCCCACACGCACTGCAATGCAATAATCACTTAGATGTGACTGTTACAATGGGAATTACTTTACACACTCATTACTGATCACTGATTAAAACCTCTGGTCTCTGTGGTATCATTATTTCAGCAGAAGCTATTTATATTCATAAACATTGATTTAAAAAACTCCCACACTGTAATGATACCCATCAGTTTTTAATTTACTTGTCCAACATGTTTTTAATATTCTAATGCCGTGCTCTGCATTTTGTCTCTGCTCAGGGAGTGCTGTAGGTTTTTCGGGGACGACGGGCTGACGCCCAAGGTGTTTTTCACCAAGGTGGCGCCCTTTGGCCTCCTGTGGATCCTCACCAACTACCTGTACCTGCAGGCCCTCAGGAAGATCAACACAACAGACGTGTCGGCGCTCTTCTGTTGTAACAAGGCCTTCGTCTTCCTGCTGTCCTGGATTGTACTCAGAGACCGCTTCATGGGGGTCAGGGTGAGTTCAGCTGCCCGTGTGTGTGTTTTTTTTTGTCTAGTCTTTTTTTTTTCTTCTTTTTCCTGAGAGAAAAATGTTGCTGCTACAGTTTTTAGTCACAAAAAAGCAAAGAAATGAAAGATTTGTGCTTCAGGCTACACATCTGTGGCAACCGTTACCTTCAATATCCAACAAAATAACCAACACACTGCACAGTGGTGCATCGGTTAGAGCTGTTACCTCACAGCAAGGAGGGTCTGGTTCAAATCCCTGTCGGGCAGGAACTTCTCTGTGTGCAGTTGCATGTTCTCCCAGTGCTTCAGCTTCCTCCCACAGTCCAGAGACATGCTCGTTAGGTTAATTGGTGACTCTAAATTGCCTTTGAGTGTGATTGGTTGTTGCTTGTTGTCGGCCTCTATATGTCAGCCCTGTGATTGGCTGGTGAACAGTCCTTGGTGTAACCCCGCCTCTCACCCAATGACAGCTGAGATCAGTCCCAGCACCCGTTGACCCCGAAAGAGAAAACGCAGTATGGATAATGGATGGATAGATAGTTTTAATGCTTTGGCTTTACAGAAAAAAATACCATATTTCAATGAATGACATTTTGCAACACTTTGTGTCCATTAAGAACAGAGAGGTCAGGTTTCTGATGGCTACACTGAGAATTGAATTTTCATTTGATCATCCTCTTTACCTTAAAAACGTGAAGTCTCTTGGTGTTTTCACACTTATGTACACAAAACTGTTGTGAACTGAAAGTGAGCTGCATGTGTAAACTGTTCTGTGTTGACACTGGTGCTACGCTAGAAAGATTCTGTTGGTGTGATAATAATAATAATACTTTATTTGTATACCACTTTTCTATACATGTAACAAAGTGCTTTACAACAGAAAGTAAAAGCAGAGAGACAATTAAAGCAACAGGCAGAGAGTAAACAAGCAGACAACAAAATCAGACTAATAAAATTAATATAAGAACAATTACCGAAATCACAGAGTAAAAGCATTTTTATAAAAGAATGAGTAGGGATGTAAAACAAGGGACTGAATCTGCAAGTCTGATCTCCTCTGGTAGGCTGTTCCAAAGTCTGGGGGCTCTAACAGCAAAAGGCTCTGTCCTCTTTAGTTTTTAGCCTGGACTTTGGAACAGCCAGTAGAGGATCTCAGACTGCATATTGGTTAAAGGTTAAGGGTTAAAATCTCAGAAATATAAGAAGGGGCCAGCCCATGTTGTGCCTTAAAAGTAATTTAAGGAATATGATGTCAACCAGCCCTGCTTTTTACTGCCAGAATGTTTTTATTTTATTTTATATCTTAGTGTTGTAGTACTCGAAATAAGAAAAAAGTCTCGGAATCGAAAGCATTTTCACCCAGTCGTGTCGGGATTTTAAGACCACCACTGTGATTAGAGGGAACCCGCCTCTTTCTAAAAGAACAAATCATTTCAATGTATTCATAATTTGATTTTTATCGGCCGCAACCTTTCCGGTGTTACGGTCTAAGTAGGTGACATACCTGCTGCACACAAGATGATCAGTGATCTTTATGGTCTCTGTCTTGTCTCGGAGCACTCTGGTCTCGGGTATGTCTTGGTCTCGGTTAGTGTGGTCTTGACTACAACACTACTCATTCGTCAATACCGTTGGGAGGGATTTCATTAGTTAGTATTAGAGCTCTAAAAGTGTCACATTGTCAAAAGGACCAAGCCAAAGTTAAAGAACAGGCTGATAAAGTATCTCAAAGAAGAGGTCTGTTCCTCCTGCTTCCCTCTCCTATCGAACGTATCACTTTGGATATCTTTGCTTCGTTTTCAATTTGTATTCTTTTTCATGAAATCCATGGCACATATTGACCCACCAGTATGTCCCGATCCCTTAAAGGCAGTGCTGCTGTAAAGACTTGCAGTGCAGCTTGAGATGACAAGATAACCTTCACTTGACCTGAAGCTTTTAATAAAGAGCCTCTTTGCTTTAGTAGAAAACACCAATTGAGGCTGTGTGCAACCCCTTCCCAAACCTGCATATAGGTTTTAAAGATTCTAGGGATATTAGACATTTCAAGATACTCCAAGAAGTAACAACACCATCAGCAAAAATAACAATATAGGCACGACCGACTCAGTTGTATTGCAGCGCTCAAAGGGGTAGGGAGAAGGGTTGTCACTAATTTAACTTAGACATGGTACTAGTAAAAATCATATAATATGAATATCTGGTTTGATACCAGGAAAACTCCTGCACATTGTTTAAATTGCACTTAAACAAAGGCAAAAATGTTGCCATTGTATTTATGCAAGTTTGCTTTCTCTCGTGGCAGCTGGTAAAAAAGCATTTTTTTTAAATCTTTGTTTTAATGAGTGATAGCATCGCAAAGAAGTCAAACATTTTGACAACCTTACTGTGGAGAGTCCCCTTTATTGTGTCATGTTCACTCATGAAGGTGAAAGGATTAAGAGTATAAACCCCCCACAGGAGTGCAGATAATGTGTGTTTTGTTGCTCTGACTGACTTTCCATTTGAAGGTGTGAGCTGCACACAGCGCGTTGGAGTGGGTTTACCTGTGTGACAGCGTGATTTCCCACCAGTGATCACTGTGTCATTCAAATGTACCTCCTGGAGTGTGTGTGTGTGTGTGTGTGTGTGTGTGTGTGTGTGTGTGTTTGTGTGTGAATTGGGGTATCTCCTGCTCTCCTCCCGCTGCTCTCTTCAGAAGCCTTCATATCTGCAGCCCGTCCTGCACTCCTGCAGAATGAATTTCCCCCTTTTTTTTTTTGTTTCCGTCACACACTCCCAACCATCTCATCTACTCCCTCGTGCATGCCCCGACTCCCCAACCCCCATTATCTGCTATGAAAGGCCTCAGAAAGAGACAAATACTGTAAAATGTCTTCTCTCTCGCTCTCTCTCTCTCTCTCTCTCTCTCTCTCTCTCTCTCTCTCTCTCTCTCTCTCTGTCTTTCCACCCCCATCTTCTCTCTCTTTCTCTTTCAGTGGGAAGGATTGCAGTGTTTGTACGTCTGCAGCAATGCAGGGGATCTTGGATGAGTTTGTCATGAAAGTAAAGGAGTGGAGAGAGAGAGAGAGAGAGATGGGGATGGGAATGCTAAATCATTCTGGTTAAAAAGCAATGTTTTTGGGACATTGTGTGCATGAAAATACGGCCATTTAGAGGCTTAGTTTGGAGGCAACAGCAGCACCAGAAACCACCAGGTTGGATGCTTATAAATAAACAGACAAGTGTTGGTTTATGTGGGATTTGTGGCTGGATTTATCAGTCATAAAGGGAGTTAGATACGGCCTAATCCACATCGACATACTGCAGTAATAACACTGTAATCACATAAGCCACTCTGTTTGCAGGTGGCATGATCCTTTTCCGTCGTCGTGCTGAACCCATCTCGAGAAAACAAAAACACGGGACACATGCCGGGTCGCTGACCTTGTAAGCAAACAGCCCTTCGCACAAATGGAAGGTGTGTGTGTGACTGACGGGGCTGCCTGCAGTGCAGAAAGAGCCGTTTTCGCTAAAGGCGCCCGGGGGGGGGCTTTGTCCGAGCAAAAACACGCAGCTCATTTATCTTCCTGACACCTCCTTTAATGCAGCACTCATCCACTCGGCTGGACTGTGCCCTGCCGCTATTTATCAGCCCAGCACACAACTACGTTCACGTGCACTTTAAGATCAAACTAAGACATGTGCTGCAGAAGTGTTAAAGGGATAGTTTGGAGGTTGTAAAGTGGGGGTGTATGAGGTGTCGGTCATTAGGCAGTTTATTACAAGCTGCAACTGACGAGCTAAATGCTACAGTTCCTCTAGTGTCCACCTGAGGCTGGCTCCACTGTCTGTGGTTTATTGCAGACAGTAGAGGTCGGTCAGCACAGGCTCTGCTTGGAGAAGCTGGCGGAAGTACACACAAGGTAGCTGAGTTTTGTAATGCTCTGGATGTGGTTTGTTGCAATATGTACGTTAGCCTTTTTAAAAAGAAAACATTGGACCACTTGCCGTCGGTTAGGTCGCATGTCACTTGTGTACAAAGGTCAGATTCCTCGTTGCAGCTGCATGTCATCCCCCCACTCTCTCCTACCAACTCTCTTCAGCTGTCCTATTTAATAAAGGCAAACTGGCCACAAAAAATAACTTCAAGAAAAATATAATTGGACCGAAACAAAAAAAAAAGTTGGGCGTTGAGTTGGTAGAGCAGATGCCCCACGTACAGAGGCCACAGTCCTTGACCCAGTGGTTGCAGGTTACAGTCTGGATTCTGACAATGTTTGGTGCAAGTCGTCCCCACCTCCCCCTCTCTCTCTCTCTCTTACCTTACCTGTTCTTCTAGAGCAGTCTTATCCAGATTAAGGTAAAAGCCTTCTGCGTCTCTTCTTTCCTTTCTCATCTGAAAAAGTTATCTGTGTGTACTCAGGTTCATGATAAGTATCATTATTTTTTTTAATCTCAACCTTGCATTGCATTTCAATTGTTATTTCAGTGTCTACCATAAAAGTCTGACCAAACAGCTGGACTGATACGGTGCACTGCTTGGGACAGGCAAGTGTCAAAGGTCAGGGCTGTCTGACGTCAAGTTGAAGCTGTGGAAATGTACAGAAATGTAGCTTGTACTCAAAGTCTTTGGTCGGTCCTTAAAGTAATTTTTTCTCTTAAGCCTCTCCACTGTAAGACATACTTTAGATTCCATGTATGTTTGTACTCTGGCTGGCTTCACCAAACAGGACAAGTGCTGAATGCAAATACTCTGAAAATATCCCTATTGAAAATATCTGGACTGTCCCTTTAAGCACAGATGAAAGATGCTGGCTCTGATTCTCCTTGGCTGGTGGGATGAAAGAGATGGCTTGGTGCTGTTTTG